TTTATCGCAATAAAAATGCAGAAATATGTACCAATGAAAGTTACATAGATATTAGTTAATCTTAACCATTGCCGACCGACAGTAGAAATGTATTTAATTGGGTTCAGTCTATTGACAGAATCCGCCAACAGAAAAACCAGCTTTTAATTAGTAATCAATATTATCACCGAACAAATTGATAGCAAAATTAATGAATGTTAAATTCCACTTCGTAAAGAAGCAATTGACGTTCTTTACTAAATAATTAACAGACGGTAAGTATTTTGTGCAGAAGTAATTGTTATTAAAAAAATTCGTTCCTGTTAATCTTGATTAATAAAAGAGAATAATTCTTTAATAAGACGGATTGTATATGTAAGTATAATTCAGGAAATTACCTAGTAGATGGGACCAGATACTGCCTGCTTGTAATTGTTTAGCAGATCTTGATAAACGATCAAACTAACAATGCGAGTGAGCTACCAGTATTTATCGATAATTTATTGATATCAGAAATGATTTATTGCTCGATAGAGTTGAGAAAGTGAAAGCATGAAATAAATTCCATCGGAAAGGGAAAACGATGAATTTACATCGTATAATAGTTTGGGGTTGGGAATTTTTAATTAAAATCACGAAGAAGTGTTGTTGTATTACCTACATATCGTGTTAAATCGACTAGAAAGACTACCTAGGCTATTTAAACATCATACTTTATGTAGTGCCGTTTTCATGACTGTTACGAGCACGTTTATATTACTCCGGTATGAATATATTCTACTAAATAACGATTTTATTTTTGCTCGATCATACTTTATTATCGTATCGCGTGTAATAGAAACCGACCGCGCTACACATCTTTCATTGTTATCCCCCGGTCATATTGTAGTATATGTAAGTAGCGGTCGGGCCATGCCCGAGGGCGACAAATTATGGTGTGATTATTTTTAAATGGCCAATAGTGCGTTGTTAATTAAAAACAAAGCGGTTTAACTCTTAACCGCTATAACTTGCAACTGGACGTTAATAGAAGATATTACCGGGCCGTAGTACACACAGCGGCGTCCATTCATTGGAATCTCTTTACGAAACTTAATTGGAAAATAACAATAATTTAAAGGCAATCAATCAGCCTTTTTTATGCTGGTTTAATATTAACGTAAAGTAATAAGCAAATAAAGTTTTTTTTTATAAATTACTGTTGATAGCTATTCTTCAAGTCTAATGAGGATAATTTGTCTTCAGCGCATTCTAGTAATTTTTTACTTAGATAAAGTCATACATACTTTTCTAGATTCTACGGTATTGAATGTTATTGAAACAGTAGGTAAAATAGGTAAATTTAATTTAAAACGTGCAATAAAAACAATAAGGTAACCAATTAACTTACTTTTATTATTTCGCCGTTATTGTAATAAAATTTGAGTAATTATTGATAATGCTTTGTTGGTTGAAGATGTTAAAAGCAATTTAGCACACGTGTTCAATATGAATGTAATGATGCTTTTTTTCAATTAGGTTTATACCTACATATTTCGTTTTTACAGTTGTATCGTTTTTCCGGAATGGCCCGCAGGAAAAGGCATTCCTTATGGCGTTTACTGTTTCGTAGGTAGAGAGTTGGAATTAAAACTATTGGGCGTAATCAATTTATAAAAGTGTGTAATAAACGGTTCTATTTAATTAATCGACAAGAATATTTAGTAATAATATACCTAGTAAAGGCAGAAGAACCGTTTATATGGTTACAAAATAAAAAAACCTATAATTTATTAAATTAGCATAATTCACCTAACATTATGTCATATATTTTTCCAATACCTAAACATTAATATTTGAAGAATATTAAGAGCAAGTAGAAATTACTTTTATAAAAAATAACAAAACTCTATCATTAGATGCCCGTAGATAATTGGGAATTATCTCCACTTTAGATACTTCAAATACCGACAGATAAGTTTATCATACTGATTGCATACATTTAAATTTATACAAAACAATCTCGTATCTATTTCATAACGTAATAAGTTTAATAGTAATACATTTAAAACGAGAACAATGCATTTGTACGAAAAACTGTTATTAAATATATTATTAATTGTTGTTCTGTGGATTCTTAGATGTTACTTCATCCTTATAGATATGATGAAATTGATAACACATTATCAGAAGAAATGAGTATTAAAATACTAACAAGGTGGAAAAATCATTTTGAAGAAGAGCCGAATCCAAAACTGTTACTTAAATAAATTGAAGCTAAATAGACTTTAGATAAATTGAAGCAATCGGAATATTACGATGAAAATGAAATTGCTGGAGAGATGGGCCAACCTGTAGAATTACCGCATCATTTACCAGAAGATGTTATAAAAGAAATAAACGAAGGTTGGAGAATACACGACTTGAATCAATACGTCAGCGACCTCATTAGTGTGAAAAGACAATTACCAGATATGAGGCAAGAATTGTGTACAATTCCATTTCGCTATGAAATCAAACTTCCAAGTAGGTACGTCTGTTATAATTTGCTTTCATAATGAAGCTTGATCCGTTTTGCTGAGAGCAATACATTCGGTATTAAACAGATCTCCTCTGCATCTAATAGAAGAAATAATATTAATCGACGATTTTTAGGATGCAGACTACTTGAAACAACCATTAGTGAAATATTGGATCTTGGAACTTAAAGTGAAAGTAATTAGGAATAAAAACGAGGTTTAATTAGATCCAAATTGGTCAGTGTAGCTAACGTTAGAAGTGGAAATGTTATGTTTTTAGATTCTCGTATAGAAGTAGCACCAGGTTGGTTAGAACCGCTGCTAGACAGGATAAATATTAATAATACAATCGTCATGTGTCCAGTTATTGATTCAATATCAGCTGTTACATTTCAATATTTACCACGAAGTGACGTGAAGTGTACGTAGGAGGTTTTGATTGGAGATTATTTCAGATAAACAGCATCGAATTCGCAATCCGGAAAAGAGTAAATGATAGAAATTTCGACAGCGCTGATCCAGTCCCAAGCCCAACGATTGCTGGTGGTATTTTTTGTATAAGTAAACAGTTTCTTGTAGAACTTGGTTTATACGATGAAGGTTTTGAAATGAACGAAACGAGGGGTTTGGAAAATTTGGAATTGTGGTTTATAGAACATCAGGTGTCTTATTCAAAATACTGGAGAATCTGCGTATTAATTAGAGTGAAAAGTTTTCACGAATCGTGTAATTTCCAATACTGTTGGGTTACTCTTCGAATTAATTTATGAGATACTATGCCGGAACTGTTCTGCATTCAATAACAAGGAGTTGAGATAAACCCCTCTAGACTCCGGTATACCGGTACCGGTCGCATCCTGTCAGCTCCACCGGCAAAACGCTGAAAGAACCTCCAGGAAATAATAAGATAATTTTGATTATTACTCTTCTGCCATATTTGGTTCAAGGCATCTAACTAGTTTACCTACTCTCCATTACCATTCCATTTTTTAATGGCATAACTAGATTTAACCAGAACCGATTTATAAATATAACAGAAGTAAATTATACAGAGTGTTATAAGAATATTAAAAATAATCTCTCCTTTATTTTCTAACTTAACAATCTTTGTATTAATTTTCCTTATTTCATTGAATTTTAAACTGCTTAGACTGATTTAATTATTTGGTACATTTATTGCTTCTTTTTATGAAGTATTCTAAGAAGCCAAAGACATTCGTGTTTAATAGTAAATTAGACAGGAATAAAACTTTCACAAAGTTTAAAATAAAAATTATAGAAGTTCGGAATGTGCAAAAAATTAGCATTTCCTGCTGAGATTGTTACACCTAGGCGAGCATTCGAGAATTGCTTTTAATAGATACAAAGAAAGGTAACAGAGAAATTTATTCGATGTCGTGTTAATTATCTCATAAAGTTTCAAATGGTTGTGACACTTAAATACAGCAAAAATCAGAGTTCAAATCGAAGGAAGATTAATTTCTGATAATATGTAGCGATTTCCACATTAAGCGAGACGTTTTATAAAAAAAAAATGGCGAGGAATATTTGCAATGCTCCCAGAAGCAGAGTAATTATACACCGTTCAACTCAACTTTTATTGGCCAAAGAAATCCGTCCGCGATCAATAAATTTGTTGCGAACCTTTATTGGCCTGTCAACTCGGATATGTACCGCAGGTAGTTTTATCACTTGAAAATTGCCTCTCGAAACAGCAGCACTCGAGCAACTTGCAATTTAGTTGAAAACGTAATTGATATCGTTATGGTCGTTTAAACAGAGGATTAATTCCTTTTATATAATTTGTCAGTGGTATGCTAGTGCATTCGTCGTGAATAAGCGCAATTTGTACTATAATGCGCGTTTTATTTTCAAAAGAAAATCTAATTTATTAGCGTTCGAATGTATGCTAATGCAGACAAGTAAGAAATAACTAAGATTGTTCGAACGAATGGCTACAAATGGGTAAGAAAAAACATTGAAATCAATTGTTTGATTTGATTATTTTTAGCGAACGTAATATTGCGTTGAAGCTTACTGAAATAAATTACCTTTCCGCAAAGGAAAACGGTTCTCCGCCAACGCCACACATAGGAAGACCGACACCAACCGATAATCAAGTACATGCAATAAAGAAGAAAAGTGAAGCCGAGGAACAGTTTCCGTGACAGAAAAGAAGAATAACCTCCACTCTACTCGTGCGTTGTGTTATCTTTTTAATGCTGGTAAACGCCAAGACTAATGCTCATGCACACAACTTTTTACTTTCCTGGGCCCTAGAGGTGCCGCTTACCCTGTCATTATCATTTCACGTATTACGTATTTTCCACTAGATTTAGTACTCTCGTAGTGTAATATATTTCCAGCTGATGTAATAAATAGAGATGGAAGCTGAAATTTCCGTTTGCGCGTTTTGGTAGACGCGTTTTGCATATTCGAATTCAACTAGATCGCAAGTGTTGCTGTAAGTGCTCATTTGCTAAATTTCTCCACCTCTAAGTCTGCGATATTATTTCCACTAACCTGCAAGAGAATTCGTTCTCCCCCAGGCACAATTCAAGACACTCCTGACGCGAGCTGACCGTTTGCCGGTCGCTGATGTAGCCTGTCAATCGGTGGTTCTGAACGCGGTCTATGCACCAGGCGCGCTCGCAGGGCTTCACCCCCAGGCAGCTCTTCTGCGCGTAGATCGTGAAAACGGGGAACTGCGAACGAGTAAGAGCACCTGAAAGGAAAAATCAAAACAGCATTAGATTCGTTAAAGCCAGCTTACATTGCATTATTATCTACTAATTCGTTGTGTTCGACTTATGTATGTAGGTAAGAGGAATGAAGATTTATTGGTCGGTTCTTCAATAAGAACGACCGCAAATCGGTGCGTAAAAAGCTGGGATAAATAAAAAAAGATTATCGGAATGTATATTAGCACGTATAGAACTACGGTTTTATGCATTCCTCGAATTATGTTCGGTTTCTTCTGAGAGGCAATAGCAAAAGCCGCTTATTGAAAAATCTAGATTACAAGAAGTTTATTTTATTTAACTACTAACAAAGACACATTAGTGAATAAAAAATTTATCATTTCATTCTCACACTTGTAATTTAGTAGGTATAAAATTTTATTGATAATAATTAATTCATGAATTAATTTAAACACGTAAAGGTGTTTAACACTAAAACGAATTCATAAGCAGATATTTAACATTCTTCGAGAAGATTGATTGCTTTTAATCATTTGCTATTTTGAAAAATACGATTAATATCGCATGATAATGGCCATTAGCTTTAATGCACATATAAATGAATATAGTAAGCGTTTAAAAAAGTGCTACCGATAGAATCTTATGTGTAAAGAATAACACCTGCAACATCAATCAATTTTCTCAAGAGTTTTTTTCAAAATATTCCAGCTCAATTATAACTCGAGTACCTCTGCCTAAGACCCTTAGGTACACAGGAAATAAAGGAATATAAATAAAACAGCCTTTGATCATTTTCAATTTACTCCAAGTCACGTCAATTGTCCGTAAAGCCGTAATTCCTCTAATTTAAACATGCGATTGGTAGGAATGAAGATGAAAGGCACGGGATAGACGATCATTAAGGCCCAAACATACTGACCTGTTATTAAGACTTGTTACTGATCTCGTGGTCTCAAGAAAAACCTTTACCATTTCAATTACACGCTGGAGATCTGTCATTCATTAGGCTTTTTACCGGCTGAGCATTATCTTGGTAATTGTAGCAGAAAACTCACAACTTTGTCGTGAATTATACCATTTCCTGCTTCAAGGGCGTTACGGATTAGAAAGCAGGTGTTAAGGGAACCGTCTACGTGACGATTCGTTTTAATTTGTAAATTACAAATCGAAATTTTATCGCAAAGTTTTATTGTTGTTAACAAAATTTAAGAAAACAACTCGACTGGGAATTTGCATGAAAAATATTTCTTCTGCAAATAGTTCTGCGTGCTCAAGTAGATACAACGGCGCGCAATTATTTTTATGAAAGCAATATTCAATAACTGTTCAATTACGTTACTATTTATTTAATGTATTCAAATCAGTTTATTCGCGTTTCGCAAAAAAATAGTTATAGCGAACTCACGCCATCTCGTTAGGCACAAGCAGGTCTTGTTTCCTTAAGAAATTATTTTGATAACGGAATCGAGATGATTACACGTCCCGGCTAATTTTTGATTGATTTGATGATTTAATCTAACAAGTATCGGCTGTGTTGCGGTCGCCAATAAATATTTGACGTACACATCCGGACCTCGACAAAACATAAATGCCAATCAATTTAATAACGAAAGAGGAAGTCACAGAGAAAATTTCTTGTTTACTGAAGTCGAAATTTCATTCGCCTACAGATAAATCAATTTTTTGGTAACCGCCATGCTTCGTTAAACCGATCGCGGTTTTTTGGTAGCTATAATAAATAAGCGAAATTTAAAAAATACCACAATTCCTTTTGAGTGGTACTTTTTTAATTTGATTTAGTGCACCACGGTTGATTAAATATGTTACCTAACAAATATTGTACAGAATAGCAACAAATCGTGGGGTTTTTTCTACAGGAGCGGTTTTGGCAAAATTGATTATTATTTGTACATGACCAGTCAATAACTACGCGTTTTTATCACCAAGTTCAAAAACCTTCCAGTGGCGCCTTTAAAGCTAGTTTGCATATTAAATTAAATTTACAAAGATTCTACGGTAACATATCTCTAATCCAATCACCACAGAAAGTCCATTCTGTTATAATTCGCGATATAACGAGGGTAAAGCCTGTCAAGCACCCAGCTCTTCATCTGGTCGGTTCCAAGCCGCAGTTAACACTGAATAAAAGGTCGACCGGTCTCTTTCTATCGGGCTACGCGGCGATATAGCGGATTAGATAAATGTTTCCGTAAAAGGACGAATGGTTTCACTCTTTTCTGTTGCTTTCTTTAGTTGGCATAACGATTGTGAGTTTAAGTTTGAATAAGGACGACGATAATGATGATGACGGCATTAGAAACGTCGAACGTATTTAAATAAGCTTGAATTTAGGAGCAGAGATAATGCGGTATGCGCAATGAAAGAGAACCGGAAAAATTAGATACAGCGACAGGAATTTCCTTTTTATGGGTGTCATATATGAGAGCAGAGATTCTCAAGTGATATACAGTTGAATTATTACGAAAACGAATTCCTGAAAGAAAATAAAAGTGAAGAAGGCACATTTACGAGTAGCTGGCATTCATTCGCTCCTGTAGAAGTAAATATTTCGACATTTCGGTCTTTATTTTTTTATCTGTCGTTTGATGAGCACGAGATTTGCAAACAAGAAAGTTAACGATTTGTTCCCACGACGTTCTACTATATGCATCAGTGTCTGAAAAGAAAGACCCGAGAGAAGAGCATGCGTAATCACATCAGAAATAAGATGACTATCTAGGTAGTTCGAGCGGTTTCCGATCTTGAATAACAGAACGTTACAATCGTAAAACAACCCTTGATTTGACGGCCGCAGGACTGCGAAACGTTTGCTAAACACGACGCAGTAGCGTACGCGAGAAATTTCATCATTCCTCTTAAATTAGATGGGAATATCAAAGAAAATAACTCACCAGGAAGAACATCAGCGTTGCTGCTGAACAAGACGCACAGTCCCGTTTCGTAATTGACGCTCTGGCAGCTTTCGTTGCCTTGGCAGGTTTCCAGACAATCTGTCAACATGAGCGTGCCGGGTATGGAGTCCAAGACGTTTCCAGGCGCCGAAAACACGTTGCCGGTGATTAATTCAAATCCGATCATTTCGGGATCGCAGTCGTCCAATGGCGATGGGAGAGTAGCAGGAAGGTTTTCTGGAGCATTTGGCGCTTCGGATTCGTCTGCCGTTTGACAAAGGCAGCCGTGCAGGCTTAATAAAAGGCATAATTGCAGAAGCCGGGACATTGCAGCTTCTAATAAAATCTGTAAAAAATATATACAGTAAGTAAATGATTGTATTAAATTGGAAAATAAGTCGAATAATATACATTTTTAAAAGGTAGAATGGTTGTTTAGTACTACCGAAATTGGTGATCGAGTGGAAAAAAATTTAATTAATTGCGAAATTATGAAAATCTCGATATCTCTACAACATCCTTCTTGTATTAGTTGCGTTGCCCAATTAATTTCTATGAATATTTTCTCAGAGAGATTATTTCTGCCTATAGTCTGCTTGTTTAATGACAGGAAGTACAATTTATTTAGAAAAAATATAATGGTTTACTTAATTAACAATTTTTTTTCCATTCCAACATCCTGCTTAATAGAAATATATCAAATATTTGGTATTATTTTATTTTCCATCATTATATTTGAGTACAATTCATTTATTACTTTTTTATGTTTCTATTCGATTTTATATGTTTAGTAGAAAGTCTTTAGACATACTGTATAACTGTTATTCCATTTTAAGATGACTTATTTCATCTCGAGCAACATTTTTATTAAGCTCAACCTTTTTTAATTAAATTCACTTTTTACACAATATTTAATTTTTTATTATCTTAGTTACTGTTCTTGACATAACAGTTTTAATACACACAAAAGTTTTTCTTAAAAATTCTTAGCCGTTTAACAATGAAGAGAACCAATCTTTAATTTCACGCGTTAATTTCGAAACGTTAACCGTAGCAAATTCCATTAAATGAATAAAAAAAAAACATAATGGTCGCGCGTTCGAAAATATCCTCCAAAATGACTAGCCATAAAAAATGGGGAAATTACGGTAGTAGACAATTTAATTGTGGTTGTTGTAAAGATTCAAATGGAGTATTAATGATTTTTAAAGTGATTTTCATTTGGGATTATAATCTCTTGTGTACAAAAAATGTGCTTTAAGATCATTTATCATAATTTGTTATCGGATTTACGACTGAATGTGTTTCAGTTTCACCTAATCATGATTACCATTTTTTATAATCAACTGTTTAATGTTTGAAATATTAGCTGTAAAAACGGTGTAATTTATTGTACCATATTTAATCAGTGTTGATAAATTATAGTGTATAAAACAACCCAATATTAAAAAAAAAAAATTATAATAATTGTGTTCGAAGTATGCACCGTATTTGGAAGTGAAAGAAGTAGGTATTATTTAAAGAATTTGAGTTATTTTTGCAAGTGTCTATTTTTGTTGGTGTTACCAGAAATAGGATAAAAAGGCGCATTTAGAATTCTTCGCAAACAGTCACATACCTGTCCGCGGAGCGTTTTAACGGTTTCGTGTTTTATCATCACTGTTTGGAATAGACAAGATCGGAAGTGTACTGAATACAATAGAAGTCAAAGTCATTGCCAGTGGCTGACCAACGTCCACGTCCAAGTGCGAGTCCGATTCAAAAGATTACGTCCGTACGACAAATGTCCCGGAGAACGTGGCGTTGCTGCACCACACGCCTTTTAAACGATTTTCCGATAATGCAAATTATGAATAGAAAATTCCGGAATGCGCCCAAGGGTATTTGGAATATTCGAAAAAAAAACTGGTCTATTTAAACAACATTATACTCTATTTTATTTCCATTTCGATCGCTTTATTACATATTAAGTTAGAGATTAAACGCTTTGAATCCACAGGATTATTTAAATTACCTACATCAATTTACACATTGTTTTTTTTATTTCGTTTTCTATCGCATATGCGGTGCAATAAATACATGGTTATACATGCTTCCGTTATATAGCTTTGTAAGTAACAATAGCGTAATTGTTAACTACCTGCTTCTAGCAAATAGGAATAAAGACAACGCCGAAGAAGAGGAAGAACTGTTGCGAATTTCTTCGTTTGTGGGCGGGAAATCGCATCAGCCGCGAGTATGTTTCAATTAAGGGGATTCAACGTATTATTAGTGATACGGCGATGAACAGTCATCATCAGAAAAGCTGGTGGAAACGTCACGATAAATGTCACTAGTGGTTGCTTATTCCAGATTCATTTGATATAAAATGAGTGATGTAATTACAAAGTGTTTGTAGTTGTTAGCATTTTTATCGATTCATTTAAAAAGTATTAAATAAAACGTTAAACAATAGTTCTTTAATTTTTGTTATTTGCCTCCTGTGGTATTCACAGCAGGTAAATTTCGTTAGCTTCCTATATAGAGGGCGTAAAAATACTTTCTATGTCAATTATTACGCTCTGCCTATATTAGTTGCTATAAGAATAATCGGTTAATTTTTAATTTGGAAATAACTAATTATTCGTTGTAGAAATCCGAGTAAGAATAATCGATTAACAACTTGTTTATTCGCATATGGAAATGGCGTGGAATAGAATAGATTTTTAAAAGGGGATCGGAATCTTGATAATGTATTACGTCGTATTGTATTCCCTTTTTACCGTTAACTATATAGCTTTCAAATGAGGTATATGAACAAAGTGTGGGCTATTCTTTTAGAAATCAATTGCATAAACTTGTTTAGAATTCGCTAGGCTTTGTGCCTACGTGATTAAAAATCTTCGGGTCATTAGAGGTCCTTATTATGCACGTAACCCAATTGACTATTATATTTTTTCCAAATGCTCAGACACCTCTTCAACGTCACAACGAACTCTGCTCTTTTATGAATGGATAATTGTTTCAGACGCTAATATAAATCATACCTCGTCACTTTGACCTCTTTACTCACCCAGTGTGTAACGTTTCGCTTTCAATGGCCTTTTTTCCGTCATGGCATCAGCCAGGAATTGCCCTTCGGAGTGAGACGGACGACTTAGTTAATTCGTTCACGGTTCTTATGCATCATTGTGGGCATTGCAATGAGTTACCGTCGGTGGACGGCAGGAAATGATCTCGATATCATTAACTCGAACACTTAGAACGATTATAACCATTACAATTAACTTTTTACAACGTTACGTATATTAATATCTTACTCGGACTAATTGCATCGAATGCCGCAGTATACATGTTGCAGTATATTTACTTTCAAATATCTTTTATGCTTTTTTTAAGTTAAATATTTTGTTTACATATACAGTAAGTTTAAATACTATTTACTGGCGTAATTTATAGTTATTAATTGGGTTACTGTTCTTACTGCCTGTTGATATCTTTCATTCATATCTATTGAATAATTTAGTTAATTTAAAATAAAAGTAGATAGTAAGTAAATTTATATTGATTACTGATTAAAGTGGCATATTTGAAAACAAGAACAAACAAGTATTTATCTACGTACGCTTAAAATGCACCGGTATCAAGTCATGTGTAAAATATTTATTTACCGATAATTAATTTCCCAGTAGAGTTCCGAGCAATGGTATTGATTGCAAGTGGCATTAGTGTCAGAAGGTTAATGCAAAAGTGGATGCATAATAGGAAGTGCATACCATTACTAAAATTCATTTTCTCTCTCAAACAAACACTTTAAACAAACGTAACGTAGGCGCAGTCGGAAAGGTTCGATTGCATGCTTGCGGCTACCTATGCTTAACGAATGTCCAGGCAATACTGCAGAATTCCTCGCAGATTAATTACGTACTTGTATGTGCTATTATTCCTCGATATTTGTCACACGAAAACACATATATTTATAGTAAAATTCATATTCTGCATGCACCCTCTTTGATTGTCGCGCATACCGCGTTCGCAACGATCGGATCCGATCCATTTGCGTCTGCACCAGAACCGCGGAAATATACAAGATATCAAATCAACGTTCCGAATGGAAATCAAAATAGAGTAATGATTATGCTTAAATGAACCGTAGGGAGTTCAGAAGTGTTCGGAATCGTGGCTACGAGAATGCAATGGCCCTTGACAAAAAATTTCCGACCGGACACAGTGATACATGGCGAGATTAGAGTACACGCTGCGATCTGGTTTACAACGGCCAGATTCTTTGTATATATTAATGCGTTGTTCTTTTCGAATGGAAAAAAAATGAAAATTCCCTTGTAAGAATGTGATTGTTATTTACCCTTTTATTTGCGTTACAATCATTCATCAAATATTTCACATTTTTTCTATATACAATGAGATATTCATCTTATCTTCATGATCATTTTATTTTGTGATATAGAAATGTTTTGTTTTCTTATGCTCATTAATTGGTTGGGTTAGTGTTCTCATTAATTTTATTTATGGATAATAATTATGATTAATACATAAAAATATGTTGCATTAATAGGTTCCTTTATGGCTAAATTCCGATTTCTGTGGTACGTAATTACAAGCACAAGTAAACACACTTTTTACTTTATAATATTAATAACTTAGTCTCGGGTATTGCGAAGTGAGAAAATCCCGGTTCTCGAAAGGCATCGCATTAAATCCAAAACGATAGGAACTCACATGTAGAGAAAAAAGAACTGAATCTCATTCCAGTAGGCAAGACTTACTCGCTAATAAGTGGCCAGTCGACACCTTTGTGTATAATTGAAAGTCGCGGACACCTGCGACGGCGCGCAATGTACAATTAAATCAAATTAGATGCTGCTACGTGGACGTTTTGCACGCACAAAAGTCATGTTAAACTTAAAGCCGCTGAAAGCCGTAATAACAGCCGATGATGAAACACAAAAACCGAAACGTACCGAGAAAATCGCACGTTAATTAATTACGTCCGTATTCTCTGTTTACAACTTGACGAAAGAGTGGTTTAATTAAATTTTAAAATGTACCAAATAGTTATTTTGCCCTTCAGTTTATGAACAACATAAATACAATATTTCAATTTATTCGAATAATAGGTAGCTGTGTGTTTTCCATCCACAATGTTAGGTAAATTTCGTTGATTGCGAAAACCGCATTTCGAACGTTTCCCATTCCCGTTTCTGATTTATCTATTTGTAGCGAGCATATCGGAACATCATAAACGTTTATTACAATCCTCGAACTGAATCTTAATCTTTTCCTACCATTAGCATATCGTCATTAGGCACGTATGCCTAGCCGGCGAACTTCTAAAGCGAAGACTAC